GAAGCAGCAGTCAAGAAATCAAATGACGTATTGAATTAGGCAAATCTGCACAAGACCTTTTTAAAGTATTGAAGAGCAAAGATGTCAGCTTGAAGACTAAGGTGTGCCTGACCCAAGCCATGGTATTTTCAATAACTTCATATGCATGTGAGAGCTGGACAGTGAATAAGGAGGACCGTAGAAGAAGTGATGCTTTTGAGCTATGGTGTTGGCGAGTATTTAAAGTGCCATGGGCTGCTAAAAGAACCAACAAATCTGTGTTGGGAGAAGTGCAGCCAGGATGGCCAAACTGCTTCTCTCATACTTGGACATATTGTCAGGAGGGATCAGTTGCTGGAGAAGGATATGTTTGGTAAGGTGGAGGGTCAGAGAAAAAGAGGAAGACCTTCAGCGAGATGGATTGGCAGAGCGACAGCATCAATGGGCTGAATCGTGGCAACAATTGTGAGGTTGGCCCAGGATTGGGCAGTGTTTCGTTATGTTGTGCATAGGGTCACTGAGTCAGTACTGACTCGATGGCACCTAACAACAACAATCTACCTTGTATACAGAAGGGGTAGGATTGAAGACTCCTTCCCTCTCAGTTGGTATTTTGCGCTACTACATCTGTAATAAGAAAGTTCATCAAATTGTAGCAATTTACACTCATTTCCTTTATATATCTAAAAAATTAAATCTTCCTCTAGTCGTGTTTTGATTAGCCATCGAGGCTAGGTCAAATGGGTCCTTTCTAATTCTTATAGATTGTGTCCCTCAAAACCATGTGTTATAAATCCTAGCCCCTATCCTGGATGCAATTCCATTTAGGAATATGTTTGTTATGTTAATGAAGCCATATTAGTGTAAGGTGTGTCTTAATCACTTTTGAAATATATAAAAAAGCATGGATAAGGGAAGATGGATACTCTACATGAAGATCACCAAGGAACCAAAGAACAGAAGCTGAAAAGAGACAAGGACCTACTCCCAGAGCCTTCCCTAAGAAACAGTGCCCTGGATTCAAATTTCCAACCTCTTGAACTGTGATAAATTGGTTAAAGCCATCCACTTTTATCTCTTAGAGCAGCACTAAGAAATTAAGGAACTAACGTTGAGGAATTTCTCTATTTCTAGGTTGCTGTTTTTTTGTAATGAAAAGGTGTTGGAATTTGTAGAACACATTTTCTGCATCAACTGAGGCAATGTTTTAATAATGTGGTGTATTACAATGATTGATTTTCAAATGTTGAGCCACTGTTACATTTTTTGGGACAGATCATTCTAGGTGCATAATAACATTAGTATACTTTTGGAATGTTTGCCACTATTTTAGGACTTTTCCATGTATAAAAAATACACGTCTGTAGTTTTCTTTCATTGTGGTATCTCTGCCTGGCTTTGGCATCAGAGTACCATATTTTACAGAGATGTGTATTATTTTTGCCATCTGGCACCATGAAAACAATAACATGAAAATTAGCCTAGAACACTTACCAAACTAACTCAGAAGGGCATGATTGAATAAAAAGTATAACACATGCACTGTTTGCATTAAAATATGGTAAATGTTAGCCTAAAAGAATGTTAGGAAGTATTCTTCCCTCTTGTACTTTTTTTTTTTTTTAAGTTTAAGGAGGATTGAGGTCACTTTTTTATTTTGGTAAAATTACCCATTCCATTTTTTCTTGAGTCATGTTTCTAGGAATTTGTCCATTTCATTTAAATTATCAAGTCTGTTAGCATACAATGAGACAATGGTTTATAGTATTCTCTTATTTCTAAGTTTGGTTATAATGTCTGCACAGTCACTTGATTCTAGATATTTGCATCTTTTGCCAGTCTAATCCTGGTGTAGCATTGAAGGATAATGCCAGGACCACAAGGTCTATTTGAGCTGTAAGGTCAGCAGTTCAAATACACCAACTGCTCCTCCGAAACCCTATAAAGGATGGCTATGAGTTGAAACTGACTCGACAGCACTTAACAACATCCTTCTTTATCTCTTCTAGCAGATTTTAGCTTAAAGTTGTTTTGTACGATTAAAACTAACACCCCATTATTATTGTTAAATGCTGTCGAGTAGGTTCCGACCCATATCGACCCTGTATAGGGTTTCCGAGGCTGTAAATCTTTACGGGAGCAGAAAGCTAAAGCCTCAGCTAAAGCCTCATCTTTCTCCTGCGGAACCGCTGGCAGTTTCAAACTGCTGATCTTGAGGTTAGCAGTCCAATTCATAAGCACTATGCTATCTCCTTTATTATTTACATGGAATATATTTTTTCCATCCTTTCACTTTCAACCTATTTGTGCCCTTGAGTCTTAAGATTTATCTCTTATAGGCTGCATATAGTTGGATCAAGTTTTTTTGTTTTTTTAAAAAAATCCATTATGGTACATGAAATATCCCAACTCCTGTAATACTGTTGTTAAATGCTGCTAAGTCAGTTCCGATTCATAGCAACCCTGTATAGGATTTCCATGGATTTGCTGGTAGGTTTGAATCATCGACCTTGTGGTTAGCAGTCCAGTGCTTATTCTACAGTGCCAATCAGGACTCCAGTTCCTGCAATAAGGTTTCCTTTTTTTGGAGCAGTCTTCATTTCTAAAATCAACCGTGTGCCTTGCAGCAAATCAGGAGAAACTGTGTTGAGGTTTACAACTTCCAGACTTTTCACAGAAAGCAACACACTTTTCTGAATATTTTAAGAAAATATTTATTAATACTCTCAAGCTGACCACTCACTTTCATAAAGAGATAATTAAACCTTTATTTTATCCATTTTCATTTAAATCAAATAAAACCAATTTCCTGTCACCTAAGAATGACTGATTAATATACATAAAACAAGTTGTCTTCATACCCAATAAATGTAAAACACACACGCACTCACATGCACACACACATCCCACCTCAAAGTCATAGCCTTAGGAACAGCTGACCAAATATATAGCCTGAGTAAAATTCAGTACAGGTTAGTTCACTTTTGAGAATGCAATGATTAGTATATGATTATTTGTTTACTTGTATATTTATAATCATTGATATACATCATGAAACAATTTTGGAAGACATATTTTTAATGGGAAGTTAAAAAATACTAAACAATGAAAATGGATGATAATTTAGGATCAATTTTTAAATGGAGACTAGTTTTCATATATTTTCTTTACCAATTCAAGAATGAAACATTGACTTTATCCTTACGGGGTTTGTTTCAAAATTAAAAGGGTAAAATACAACAAATACACAGCTAAGTGTTCTGGACAAGGCTGGGAAAGAGGGGACCCAATTTGCAAGGAATCAGTTGTCCCAGTAGTTTTCACTTGGCTAATCTGGATAGAGAAAATATGTTGTTAAAATAATTTATCTATGTATAAGTAGTCTTTAAAGGAGTCCTAGTAACATAGTTGATTATGAGCTAGGCTGCTAACTTCAAGGTCAGCAGTTCGAATCTGTCATTCACTCCATGGGAGAAAGATGCTTTCTGTTCCCATAAAGATTTACAACCTCAGAAACACTATGCAAGGACAATTGAGTCAGAATCAACTCAAAAACACACAACCACCACCACCACCGTCAAGTAGTCTTTACATTAAAAATGAAAAAATATTCCAATTTTATGTAAAGGAAAATGCAAAATAAGAAATCTCTGTATTTGTAAGTAACTGTATTTTTACAATATATGTTTTCTGCCTGACTCCTAATTTTTGTCTATTAGAGTTCTTCAATGTGCAATTTATATCAAACAGCAGCTTTTATTACTTTAAAGGAGCTCTGGTTAGCTCAGAACAGCCTGTCCCACACCCTCTGCTACCTGAAAAGCCTTCACACTTGTGTATATAAGTAGCTGAGGGCACAAGTAGATATACATGTGCAAAAAGTGTTTATGTAAAGGAAAGCTAACTAGCTTTACAAATAAAGTCTAAAACAAAAAATACATATAATGAAAAAACTGCTAAGCCCACTAAGAAAAGGCAGCAGACATAAACCATATTCATCCTACAACATACGCTAATCATTTAGTTGTGTTTATTAACCAGCCATCGGGACAATAAATCCCTCCATGTTCACATGATTAAAAACAGGCTTCTGATCCAGCTGCAGTCTAGAGGCCAGACTACATAGAATAACAAAGAGTTTCCTATAGTTATGCTGCATCCAAACTGTCTCACTCCACCCATAAAAGAAGTCTCCCATATGATCATGTACATTAAGGACATACCAACCAATTTATGAGGTCTGCTATGTGTGTAACCACAAGGTCAATGGCTCAAATCCAACAGCCACTCCTCAGAAACCCTATACATGGTTGATATAAGTTGGAGCCAACTCAATGGCACTTAACAACAGCAAAAACAACTTGTTTACATTCAAGCATTAGCCTGTTTAGAGTTTCAGTCAAAGGAAAGTTACTTTTGATTGCTAATATCTTAGCTTACATACTCAAAGCTAGGAAGCAACATAAAACACAACCCTGCCACCAAGGTCCTATTATGTATGGCAGGAAGCTGACTATACAGAAAGACCAAACAGGCTGATACTTTATACACCTTTCACTGTTATTAAAACAAGTTACAGAATTTTCTCTGATCAAATTCTGAACCTAAGTTAATACATGCTTTTTCTTCTTCCTATTATCTCTGAACAATGGATAGCAACTATGCATTACTGCTTATAAAGAAATATATTCAAATATTCATAAGGTAATTTTTTTTTTTTTGCACCTGAACTGGTATTCTCAAAATTGGAAATACAGTTCCTATCTCTATTCAATTTGCATGATATATCTATGTGCTTCTCAAGTCACAGTTATTCCATCATCCTGGAGAAGGCATTATACTGTGTATTTTGCACATGTATTTTAAAGGAATAACATTTAAGAGGAAAAGGAAAAGGAGACCCTTTCAAACGTAGGTTCCTTACTAAGTGACAATGGTGCTATATGTTGTTGTTAAGTGCTATTGTGTCAGTTCTGACTCATAACAACACTGTATAGGGTTTCCAAGGAGTGACTGGTGGGTTTGAACCACCTACCCAAGTTACCAAATTATCTCCCAAATTTGACAAGAAAGGGCCAGAGGCAAACGTCCATGGTGAACTGCATCATTCCAATGACCATTCAATTTACTGGTCTTTAATTCCCATTTCCTGATTTACTGAGGAGTAAAGGTGAGAACCATCCAGCTGATGACAAAATAGAACAAGCAAACAGGATACACAGCAAGGGTTTTGCGGTTCGGAGGCTGGCTGTCAGCAAGAAAAGCTGTAGAGGCTAATGAAACAAAAAAAGAATGTTTAATGTAATACACCATTGTCTTAATGACTCACATTTACTAACTGAATGTACATGACATACTTTGAACATAGAATCACAGAAGTTCAATTGTATTTGTAATCCTCAGAGAAAAAGTCATTCATTGGCAGTTTTACAGACAGCTAAGGGCTTATTTCAAATACTAAAGCTTTTCAAATTTTCTATTTTTTTTTAAATTTCAACCATTTTATATGAAAATCTTTCTAAAAGAGGTTCTACACTCACCTACTCTCTTAAATTATATGCAGAATACATGATGGTAAGACAAAAATACTGCTATAAAATCACAGAAGCCTTTATTAAACAAAAATGTCAGTGTAAAGCTGTTGTTTCTTGACATATCCTCCATGTAGGTTAGGGATGGGGACCATCCAGTCTATGGGTCATATTGTTGTTGTTGTTATGTGCCGTGGATTCGGTACCAACTCATAGCGACCCTGTACAGGGTTTCCAAGGTTTTATGGGAGCAGAAAGCCTCATCTTTCTCCTGCGGAACAGTTGGTAGTTTCAAACTGCTGACCTTGAGGTTAGCAGCCCAATTCATAACCACTATGCTACCTGAGCTCCTCTATGAGTCATATAAAGCCCTAAAAATCCTTTAGTTTGGTCCTGCCAAAGAAACTATAGTTCCACCCATCACGTTGTTGTTAAATGCCATTGAGTAGGTTCCAATCCATGGCAACCCTGTATAGGGCTTCCAAGGAGCAGCTGGTGAGCTTGAACTACCGACCACAATGTTTGTTTGTTAAGTGCCATCAAGTCAATTCTGACCCATAGCGACCCTGTATAGAGTTTCCAAGGCTGTAAATCTTTACAGGAGCAGAAAGCCTCATCTTTCTCTCACGGAACAGCTGGTAGTTTCGAACTGCAGACCTTGAGGTTCCACAACCTGATTTGTAACCACTATACTACCAGAGCTCCACTGACCACATTGTTGTTGTTTTTGTGTGCCGTGGAGTCGGTTCTGACTCATAGCGACCCTATACAGGGTTTCTGAGGCTGGAAGTCTTTACTGGAGCAGAAAGCCTCATCTTTCTCCCGCAGAACAGCTGGTAGTTTCGAACTGCTGACCCTGAGGTTTGCAGCCCGATTCATAGCCACTATGCTACCAGAGCACGTTACTGACCACATTAGGGGTAAGTAAATTAAATAAATGTTTGATCAAATATACCAGGCTAATTTTTAAGTTGATAATTTTGTATGGCCCACAAATGAGGCTATAAATTTTGGGAGAAAAGAGATTTATCACCCTGATCTAGGCATATACACTTCTAAAGGTAGTGTTTCTATCTCTGGAGTCCTTCCCCCAAAGAATTCTGTGCTCTTCCATTGACACCATGTCAAAACGGCATTTTTGCATCCATAAAAGGATTCAAATCATTCCTTTTCAATGTTCTTTGAGTTTGGGGAACAAAAAGTTTGAAGGATCAAGATGAGGATTGTAAGGTGGATAGGACAAGGGTTCCCAACAACCTTTTGTAGGAGAGCCCTTGCTACTCTCAAAGAATGAGCAGCAGTACATTGTTGTGATAGAAAAAAAATTTCTCAGCACAACTTTCCTGGCATTTTTCTCATCAATACAATTTCCCATCTTCTTAAAATGTCTTCATAAGCCCCTGTACTTGTCCTGAGTCCTTTAAGAAAAACCACAAACATTATCCCTTTGGAATTCTAAAAATAGTCAACATAACTTTGAGGTTTTCTGCCTTGAATTCATCTTTGAGGTTTTCCTGACCATTCTTGAAATTTTAGATCCATCTAAAAATTGTTGTTTAATGTGGGGCAGTATTTCCATAAATTTGTTGCAAAGCTTCAATTTAAGAAGACGTCCACATGAATTTTGTTAAAAATTTGATATTAGACCTGAACTCAAAATTGTTTTTATCCTTTTTTAGAAAGCACACTAACAAGACTAAAACAAGTATATTACCTAGAGAACTTGCCTGCAGCTATCCACTGATCATTTAATACAATTTGTTTGGAATAAATCTAGGCATGTATGAAATGGAATCCTTGTAACAATACTTTTTGACTTACCCTTGTGTTTTAATCCTTTTAAGAAAAGTTACTGAATTGAAATAGACTTGCAAAGATATATGTTTATTTGCACCTAGGGTAAATGGCCTTACTGCTGTGCTTTTTGAGTAACTGTTTCTTAATATTAAGTTATGTTGTTGTTGTTATGTGCCGTGGAGTCGGTTCTGACTCATAGCGACCCTGTACAGGGTTTCCGAGGCTGTAAATCTTTACGAGAGCAGAAAGCCTCATCTTTCTCCAGCAGAACAGCTGGTGGTTTCAAACTGCTAACCTTGCAGTTTGCAGCCTGATTCGTAACCACTACGCTACCAGAACAATATTAAGTTATAAGTTCTTCTAAATGCCAGCCCTCTAATCCATCCAGAAAATGTCTACTCATCTTTTTACTCATTAAGCATCTTTGCTGATCACCTGGTATTTAAATTTTCTGCCACCCCAGAATACTTCTATGTCCTGATTGTACCTTGCATAGACTGCCATCTCTCACCTAGAACACTTTATTGTCCTTAAGTTTTTAATGTGTCTGGCTGCCCCATTTTATTGTGAACTCCAAGGACACAGACCATGTGCATCCTTATTGCACAGCACAATACCCGACACATTGTTGTAGTTAAGTGCCATCAAGTTGGTTCCAACTCACAGCAACCCTGTACAGGGTTTCCAAGGAGCAGCTTGTAGGTTTGAATCACCAACCTGTGGTTAGCAGTTTAGTGCTTATCCTACAATGAGTGCCACACCAGGACTCTACATAGACTGTTTTATTTATTTTTAAAATTTTTTTATTATGAATTGAGCGAAGGCTTACAGAGCAGGTCACTAGTTTTACATTCAACAAATCATATACTTTGTTTCATCTCAATGACTGCAATCCTCTTCATGTAACAAGTTATCCTACTTTCTCCTTGTGATACTTATTTCCATTCCACCTTCCTTCCCAACTTTGAACTCTGTCCTTAGATAAATGTCACCCTTTGATCTTGAATGGTTGGTTGAGCATTCCATAGTGAGCATATCTTTACAGTTGTTTCCCTATATACATGTCTAGCACTTGCCTGAAAATTGGGCCATGAGGGTAAATTCCGTTCAAGACCTGAAGGGTGGCCAAGGGTAATGGGCTCAGGTTCCTCCAGTCTCTTTTTGACCAGGAAGCCCACTTTGTTTCATTTTTTCATAATTTTGAGTTTTGTTTCACATTTTCTTCCACTATATCTGGGACTTTCTTTTCTTTTCTTTTTAACACTTATTGTTTCATTGCAATGATTACAATCCCCTCCATGCATCAACAATATTTGCTTCTATTAGGTTTTTTTTTTTTTTTTTTTTTGGGAGGGGGGGGGAGTGGGCGTGTGTGTACCAAAACACTCAGGAATATATAATCATTTAAACAACCAAAGGGCACATTCTGCAAGCCTGCCTCTTGGCCACCAGCACACAGTACATACACTGTATTTAATAAATAATTTCGCTACATTGTTGAATTAAAGAATGAATACTTATATCTGTCTCTCTCCACACTTCTTAGATGCCACTTTCTGATCTACTATGGGTATGGATAATAAATAATTACGCTAGTTAGAGGAGTCCTGGTGTGGCAATGCAGGATAAACTAACTGCAAGGTCGGCAGATTCAAACCCACCAGCAATTCCTTGGAAAACCTATACAGGGTCACTATGAGTTGGAACAATTTGGATGGCACTTAACAACAACAACAACAAGCTAATTAAAACTATACGTATGGTAAATTATCAGAATCTAAGTGAGGAAATCGGGGGACTCTCCATATATATTATACTTAAGTATAATATATAGCCTTTGGAACATAATTCTGACTCTCTCAAAACTTTTTGGATTACTTCTTGGCTTTCAACCATGTTTCAAAGCAGTGAAATATTACTATACTTTAAATACTATGCAGTCTGTCTATACTATTAAATAAGAAGCTAGTTATCTTTAAGAGAATTTGAAAAATGTAAAAGCAGTGAACGTATAGTTTTTAACCATATATGCACCATACAGAGTCACTGCTACAGATAATTACTAACTTTTAGCAGAGTTTTCTATTGAAGTAGAAAAGCAATGCATGACCTATGCTAGAAGTTGTATAGTATAATTCTTAAGGGTGAATGAGCTGCTTGGATTTGAAATATGATTTTCAACTCCTCTGTGACTGTTCCTTATCTATAAAATTAGATTAATGGTAGTATTTATCTTTTAAGCTTGCTGTGAAGAATCAAATAATACACAAAAGCCATTTAGAACAATGACTTTCCTATAATAAGTGATCAGTAAATGTTAGCCCGAGTCCCTGGATTGTACAGTTAGTGCACTTGGCCACTAACTGGTTGGAGTTTGGAGGTTTGGTGATCGACTTCTCAAAAATCAGCCATTGAATATCCTAAAGGAGTAAAGTCCTACTCTGACACACATGGTATAACCATGAGTTGGAAATAACTCTATGGCAACTGTTTTTGCTGCTCTTGTTGCTTTTTTTAAATGTTAGCTATATTTTTTTATGATTAGCTGTCAGTGAAAGGCCCAAGCCACTTCATAAGCCACCTATGTTTTCTATATATAAGAAATAAGCTAAGTCTAGCTCGATCTTCTTTTCTAACATGTTCATTATTTAAAGGAAAATAAAAAAGACCTTAAGAATTTCAATACTTTAAAAATCCAGACACACAACTCACATACAATGAATAACATTCCCATCAATAACTACTCTCCTACTTTAAGAGTAGGAGACAATACACAGGATTGATAGGGACAGGCAACTTAGACATTGGCTACCAAATATTGGGGGCTATAAAGGCATGAAGTGGCTGGCTTACAAGTTTCAAGAGTGTGCTTAGTTTCAGAATGAGGGGAGTAAGGTAAAATGCCCACTGAATAGTTTTCCTCTTGTACAGATGGGTCTGGTGAAAGGGGATGGGAGAGGATGGAGATAGGAGTCTTTTGATTCAAGAGTAATTGCTATCATGATTAATTCCAACTGTTACAACTGTAAATGTAGAAGATGTGAAACAAAAAGCAAGGAGTAGAGAACAAAGAAGGTGGCGGAGAGGGTGGAAGTACAGTTAGGAGCTCTGTCAGCATAAACACAGAATACCAGACCAGGCAAGCTCAGGGGATGGTGCCAGAACTCTGAACCACATATAAAGAAATATTTAGAAGGTCAGAAGGCTTACAGCAAGGGAAATTAGTAGCAGAAGCAGGAAATCCATTGCTTTCTAATTCAAGACGCTAAGCTGTTCCCGGAGCCACCATCTTGGGAGAGACCAAGTGGGGAAAGGATCAGAGCAGCCACGGATGCCTGACAGAACTGTGAATATAAAGGTGTGGACATTTTTTTTTTTTTTTAATGTATCTTCTGTTCATTGGTCTCTTGCTGTCTGTGCAACTCCATTCTGGTGACTAGAGGGGGTGCCTGAGTGAGTGGACACCTCACCCCTATGCCTGGAGGGTTCTACTATGCATGCACATAGATATCCTTGAAATGTAAAGTTCCCACTTAAAACCAAACCTGAACTGTTTTTATCACTAGGAAGAAGGCCTGAAATGGAATTGTAGAGTGGGACACGCAGACTAAAAAGGAAATAAGCCGAAAATTAAATCCTAAGTTATGTCACAATGACCAACAGCGGCATCTTGAAATTTCTCATGAAGAAGAGTGAAAAGGGAAGCCCATCTCCTGATCACATCTACCTGGAGGCAATCAGAAAGAAAAAATGCCAAAATACACACCAATCTTAAGTATTAAGGCCACAGATAACTCTTGACTATGCCCAAAAAACAGAAACAGATGACCATATCAGCACATGTCCAGAAACGAAACAAAGTGATTGAGACAAATGAGCTGGAAGTCGACCAACACTCCATTCTAGAAGGAAGGCAGGCTTTGGAAATGCCTGAGAAGGAATTCAGAAAAATTATTATATAATGGAGTTGAGAAAAATAAGGAAAAAGTCAGGAAGGAGCTACAGGAACAATCAAATAAGATAGATACAGCATTGGAAAAAATTCAAAACTTACAGAAAGAGATCCAAACAATTAATAATAGAATATCAGAAATGGACAATACACTGAAAGGGAAAAGGAGTAGAATTGAAGAGATAGAAGCCAGAACTAGTGAGCTAGATGATAAATCTCTCAACACCACTAAGATAGAAGAGCAAGCAGAAAAAAAGGATACAAAAACCCAAAGAAGGCCTAGGATACATGTTTGGCAACATGAAGAGGAATAACAGGAATTATCAGCATTCCAGAACAGGAAGAATCACACAAGTCCATAGAGGAGATAATTGAAGAGCTTCTGGAAGAAAATTCCCCTAACATCCTGAAAAACAAAAAGATAAGCATTCAAGAGGCTCAATGAACCCCAGGAAGGATACACCCCAAAAGAAAATCACCAAGACATATCATAATGAAGCTCTCCAAAATCAAAGATACGGACAGAATCCTGAAAGCAGCTAGGGAAAAGAGAAGTATAACATACAAAGGCAAGCAAATCAGGTTAAGCTCGAATATCTCAACAGAAACCATGCAGGCAAGAAGGCAATGCAAGACATATATAAAAACCCTGATAGAAAAATAAAAAAAACAAAAAAAACTGCCAACCAAGAATCCTCTACTCAGCAAGGCTGTCAATCAAATATGATGGTGTAATCAAAACATTCCAGGATAAACAGAAGTTAAGGGATTTTGACAAAGTCAACCCTACTATGAAAAACATCCTAAAGGAAGTTCTGTGGACTGAGAACCAGTAAGAACAGACAACAACCAGAGAATGACGTACATGGCAGCATCACCCTGACCTCAACTGACAAATGGAAGACTCAAGAACAGAATAAAATGATAAGAACAGAGGATCTGGGAGGTCAGTGGTTGATCAAAACAATTATAATGTGAAAGAAGGTAAACACAGAGGAACAGAGATCCAGGTGATGAGAAGATCAGGTAGATTTCAGGATAAAATAGACTGTGTATTAAATAGAGGGAAGATTTAATGGATTATATAAGTTAACCACAACAGTGGGGTTGTGGTGGGGTTCGAGTGTTGGGGAGGGCAAATAAGAAGGGGGAGGAGCGGGGAGAACAAGATAGAAAGGGGAACACTGAGAGAGGTTTGCATGGCCTAAGTGGGACAGAAGTAAATAGTGATGCATGTTCAGCCTTGGAACAACAGGACTCTGATACAGGGAGTAATCTTTCAAGGAACTCTGGCAGCATATTAGTTATGAGTCAGGCTGCTAACCTTAAGGTCAGCAGTTCGAAACTATCAGTTGTTCCATTGGAGAAAGATGAGGCTTTCTACTCCTGTAAAGATTTACTGCCTCAGAAACCCTATAGGGGTCACTATGAGTCGGAACCGACTCCACGGCACATAACCACCAACCACCAGTTAATCTTTCATTCCAGGAACATAGGACCAATCCAGAGGAAAAAGCATGAGCAGAGTGTGGGATCCTAACCAGAAAAGTGGTGACAGCAGAGACAGAAGAAGGGATAGGGCAAATAAAGACTCTAAACTCATGAAATGAGAAAGGCTGTGTGCCTACAGGCAGGAGGCTGGCTTGCAAAATGTGCCCTTTGGACATTTAAATGAATATATATTTTCTGTGTTTCGTGTACATCAAAAAAATTTAAACAGGGAATAGAGGTAAATACTGTTAACCAATGGTGCATGGAGGAGATTGTAATCATTGCAATGAAACAAAATATAATTTGTTGAGTGTGAAACTGATGATCTGCCATGTAAACTATCACTCAACTCTTAATAAAAGCTTTAAAAAAAAAGAGTAGCATGTCCTATGGATGACATTAATAATAATCATATCACTCACATATGACTTAAAAGTTATATGCTCCTCATCTGGTCTTCATCTCTAACCTATTTTATAGTCTGCTCTAGTATTGTAGAAAGGGGTGCTGGTGATGCAATGGAGTTATGTGTTGAGCTGCTAACCATAAGGTCAGCAGTTCGAATCCACCAGCTGCTCTACAAGAGAAAGATGAGGTTTTCTGCTCCTGTAAAGATTTACAGCCTTGTAAACCCTGTACAGAATCACTATGAGTCAGAACTGACTCAAAAACACACAATAACACTATTGTAGAGATAAGTACATACTTACCTACTACCGACCAGGCAAACATCAAAATCACCACAAGAAGCCGCACCAAGAAGTTTACTGGTCCCAGTTCAACCAAAAGTACCAGTCGACAAATCAGCATTGCAACCGTCAAGGGAAGTATACAGTAACCCAAGACACAAAGGCTCTGAAAAACAGATCTAAAACCACCACATATCCATAAAGATCATAAATATAATTAATATGTATATTATGATACAGCTTATTACACAAATTTCTATATATCATGGATTGTTTCCTTCCTCCAAATACATAATACCTATACCCTGACATTAATTTTATAAGGATATGGAGTTCTGGTGTGGCACTGTGGGTTGTTAATGCACTTAACAGAGTTAATCCAACTTTGCAAAATTGGTTTGAACTGCAAGGTTGCCAGTTCAAGCTCACCAGCCACTCCTTGGAAACCCAATAGAGGGTTGCAACAGGTCGGAATCGGCTCAAAAGCACTTAACAACAACATTTTTCTGTATAAAGCACATGGCTTTCTTTTTAAATACTCCCTCTGCCCTCTTGGCCACTGCCTAAAGAATCAACAAACTAAGATACCAAAACATGAAATCTAATTCCTGAAGACCTCCCTCTCCCACTGAACCTCTAAGGTGGTGAATCTTAATAATTTCCAGTTTATAGGGCTAATTAAGGATTTATTGAAATCCATAGACCATCTTCCTCTCAAACTGTATACAATAAAAAAGTCAGCCTGCAATTTCAGGGGCTGGAGAAACCACCTGAAACTTATCAAAGGACTGCAACTGATAATTTACTTCAATTAGGTCATCTCTGTTTAGTCATCTTAAGAGAATTTTTCTTTGGACTCGCTTATAAATGATTTTCAAAAAGATCACAGAAAGATTGAATGAAAAGATAAGAAATTTTGTCACAAACTTTTTGAAGCCCCCTCATATTTTGATTTTTCTTTTTTGAAATGTCTAACTAACCTGGCTTCCTTAAAATTTAAGAGATTGAAATTAATAATGATGCTCACATGTTTCCTCCAAGAAGTTTTGAGTTGAGGGTGATAGTAACTGCTCCAAACCAGAGAGTAACAAACACTTCAGCAAACTGGGGCCCTCCATACTTTTCGCTATCTACAGCGTCTCTTTGAAGCATTCTGAAACAGAAAAATCACATTAGAATTTTCTATTATTTAGAACAAAAGTTAAAGCATGGATCCTCAGGCTTTGAGTCAGGGAGTTTTTCTATTTCTTACCTGAAGATCTGTAATAGATAGATGGTACTAAAAGGAAAATGACAGAAATATTTGGCAAGGTCCCTTTACTCTGAATTCCAAATACCCCAAGCTACAAGGGGTGCTCCATTTATACCTTTTTGGAATTTTCAAATGGATTACTGAAGATTTTATTTTGGTAAAGCAAAGATTACAAACTGAAGGGCCAAATGTGGCTCATATATATGAGATTTCTGGCCCATGCAGGACTTAAAATGTTTTCAAAATTCAAGTTGACGTTACAGGCAGTCTCCAAGGAACAAATGAGATCTGTTCCTGTGACTTTAAGAATTTGTAGGTAAGATGGAAAGTGCACCTGGTTCTTATTTAGCCTTATTTTAGTACAAGAAAAGGCTGGATGCCTTTTTAGTGATTTAAAAGCTGCACATGCAGCAAGTGAAGGTTATGATGAAGAATTTGTGGCCAACAGGGATTGGTTCAGGAGCCCGGGCTGCGTACTGGATGGCTGCTAACCACAAGGCCCAGCAATTCAAATCTACCAGCCACTCCAAAAGGCTTTCTATGGGCTTTCTGTTCCAAGGATTTACAGCCTCAGAAACGCTATACAGGGTCACTATGTGTCAGAACCTACTCAATAACACATACCACTATCACCACCAGGGGTTGGTTCAGGGGCAAGTAGGAGTTGTCTAAGTTGGATGTTTGTAACAAGGGAACTGCCTGCATTTTGAAATGGAAGGATTTCACATAAAAATCCAAATTTCTGACTTTGCTTGAATAAGAAGATGATTTGCTAAAACTGAGCCTGTATTCCTATGTAGCAACAATCAGCTTAAATAGTTGCAGGGGCTTACAGTCAACAGTTTACAACTCTGCCTACTTCATGGATTTAGATGACTTATCTGGTCCTGAGGATACATTTGAATTTGTAAATCCTTGGGTTACACTTTTCATTCTTATATTTAAAAACTGAAATAGTCTCTAAACCTATTGTTCATTTTTTAAAATCAAAACATAGATTATTAATTACTAAGAGACCTTGCTTAGAATTTGGGTAGTTGAATAGTCTCTTAAAAATCTTCTTTAAGACTTTTACAGATGTAATGTAAACTGCTTTGAAAGAGCCCCAGTGGTACAGTGGGCTATCAGTTGGCCTGCTAACCACAAAGTCAGCAGTTCATATCTATCAGGTGCTCAGCAAGAGAAAGATGAGGCTTCCTAGTCCCATATAGATTTACAGTCTCGGAAACACCCTATACACATTGGAACTGACTCAGCACTCAAGTACCACACCAAACTGCTTTGAATTTTGGGCTTTATTGAATACTTGGACTGTTATTCTTATCCAAGTAAATAACATCAAGCTCACAACCTCTAATTACAAAGTAAAGTATAACATGAGAAAACTGGAAGCTGTTTAAGATGGAAACCTGTCAGAAAAGGAAAATGCAAACATTTTCCACTAAAACTTTAGCCTAATAGTCTCTGGAAATCAGAACATGCAAAACAGAGGGAATCAGATAATTGTTAATATTATAACCCAAATATGATGTGCAGATGCAAAAGCGAGAAATATTTCCAAGAAATACAAAAGTCAGAGATAAAGATTCACTTCCACTTCTTTTGACATTATTGTATATACTACTTACTCATCACAACTATTCCATAAATACATCTATTCATCACATTTTTGGTTCTTTTTTGGAGGTCCTGTAAATTTTTTTTCTAGCAAAGAACAATTTTCCTAAGTTTACAAGAAGATAAGATATTCTAGGGACACACCATGGTCAACTGGAATAACATAACCTACAATGTTCTACATCCTACTTTGGTGAGCAGTGACTGGGATCCTAAAAATCACATGAGCAGCCATCTAATGTGCAACCACTGGTCTCTCCCTTTGCAGAATAAAGAAAAATGATGAAAATTTGAAGATGCTTGGAAATAATCAGTCCAATGGACTGTATGAACATCAATCTCCGTGACCCTGTGACCAGAACTAGATGGTGTCTAGCTACCATTACCAAATGCTCTGAAAGGGAGGGCATTAGAAGGTTATGGATAAAATGGAAGAAAATGTGGAACAAAACTCAAAGAAAAACAAACAAACAAACAAACAAACAAACAAAAAAAAACAGTTTTCCTGGTCAGATAAAGACTGAGGGAACCTGAGACTAGAGTCCTTCGTTATCCTTCTGGTCTTGAGCTAGCTGAACTCATCCCTGTGGCTCAATATTCAGTCAAGTAATATATATTGGGGGAATGGGAAAATGATAGTGTGATATGCACGCCATAGAATGGCCAACCATTTGAGATCAAAAGGGCAGCATTTGCCTAAGAACAAAGTTCAGAGGTGCTGGGAAAGGAGGAATTGAAACAAAAATCTCAGGAGGAAGTGGCATAAGTGATGTTACATTTAGGGACTGCAATCATTGGAATACAATGAAATGTATGATAAGTTGAATGTAAAACTTCTGCTCTGTAAACCTTTACTCAATTCACAATAAAAAATTTTTTTAAATAAGATATTAATAAATTCCTTTATTTTCTTTAAAACCTAGAAAAGCACAACAGGTTCCAAGGATGGCTCCAGAACTCTACTTCAAATAAAGGGATAATTAGGAGGATTGAAAGCATACCACTGAGTGGATTTGGAGCAGTAGTCAAAAAGGAGGTGTTTTCTGATTAGAGGTGGCCAGCAAGTCCCGGCCCAGACATTTTGAATGGAAAGGAACAGATATACAAGATCAAGAGAGTACTCCCATCAAAGAGGGGGTGACTGATCATCAGAGATAAAGGTTCAAACATACCTTTACTTTATTTCCCTGTCTTCCCACCTCCACTCTGGTACCAGAAGGTATACTTGAGTGAGTGGACAACTCACACCCCCTGGGAAGATTCTCCTATGCATACAAACACAGCAAGGATCTCTGGGCACAGAATTGAAGAAGAGGGAGGAGTCAACAGGAACAACTTAAAAAGGGAGTGTTTTCCAAAATGGGTCTGGATAGCCCTGGGCTGGTTCTCACTAGGAGAAACACTTGAACAGGCTTGAGGGGAGGTGAAAGAGGCAAGACAGAAGGAAAAAGAACGAAAACAAAGCCTTGAGTTACATCATAAGGCGCAACAGGAACATCTAGAAATTTCTTAGGCGGATTTGAAGGCAAGAAGTCAAAAAAAGGGGAACTAAGATCACCAGTCACTGCTCGTAAACCCTATACAGGGTCGCTAAAGGTCGGAACTGACTCGATGGCACTAACAACAACAATAAAGTCTTACTCATATTTTGCTACTTTTTGTTTTGTTTTGCTTTGCAATTTTGGACTTTAGTGTCCAAACTGATTTTTGTTGTTGTTTTATTGTGAATTATGTGATAGTTTACATGGGAGAACATTAGTTTTACATTCATTCTATCGTATATCATTTCATTGCCATGGTTACAATCCACTCCATGCATCATCAACCAACCAAAGGGTATACCCTGCAAGCCTGCCACCCACCCCACTCCCGGTCTTCAGCGCACAGTCCCTCTCCCTCTCTGGATCTAAAGTCCCTAGGTGTTCCATCTCTCCACGTCATTGTCTCTGCCTCCATCTCAGGCATCACTGCTTCTCTGGGTAGAGTCCCGCTCTCCGCTCTTCTCCAATGATGGTGCTACGGACCTCCAATCCTAGACTGGAAAGTTAATTACTCCCCTCCTTGCTATAAAATGTCTACCTTTACATTTCCAACCCTCACAATCAGTCGTGATAACAATTATTCACTATCGTATCACCAGAGACCCATCCGCATTTCATTTCATTAGCCCCGCCTAGACAGATTGGATACTACTCACTAGAGATTTTACCTTCCTCCAGGCCCTCTGGATCTAGGTTCCCTCTTGAAAGCTTGTAAGCCAGTCACTTCTTGCCTTTGTAGCACCCCCCCCTTCCCATTTTGGGTAGCCAATGTTCAAGTTGCCCATCCCTGTCTACTCTGTGTATGGAGGGGGTGGGGAGGATCCTTGCTACAAAGATTTGTTCCCTCTTTTGAGCTACTGAATCCATACTGTAGGCCAAGTTCATCAAATTGTATCAGATTACTCTTTTTTCCATCTTCTTTCTTCTTCTAGTTGAGCTCTGATCATCCAGTCATTGAAGCCTGGTCAAGTGGGTATTATCTGCAAGTGTGGGTGCTCTTGTGCATATGCCTTCTCTTTTTATCAGCTGGAGGCTTCACTCTCCACTCTAGTCCTCTGTGGCTATGTCACTGACTCTCGGTCCAAGAGTCCCCAGGTCTTGCCACACTGCTGGCCACCCAGGTCTTCACCCAGGTTCACAGAAGTCTATTGAACATTGTAGGGCTTAGCTCGCCGCTTCATTTCTGTTTTTCCCTCACTTCCTCTTATCAGTGACCAGCGTGGTCATCAATCAGAGCGTGCATTCCCATTGAGGCTTAGTCTAGTAAGGGGGTTTGCCCTGAGGGGGACCCAACCACTTGCCTTAATGTTTTCTGGGCAAGCAACTTGTTTGTTCTTGGATTAACAGTCAGTTTGCCTATATTGTTTTGTATTTTTCTGTTTTTCTAGCCACCCTAGTCTGCTCTGTTCCTCATTTCAAGTGGAAATTTACCATAGCTGAAGAACTGGATGTGGTTCAGGCTTCCACCTATAGTCTTATGTATTACAGAGGCTCCGCAGGAAGCCTCCTTCACTGGGCACGTTGTGGCCCCATTTTAGGTATTCCAATCAGTTATAGGCAGAAGACGGGCTTACAAGCTTTCTATAGTGATATTTCTGGCTATTCCTTTCTCTCCCCCTTCAGTGTTTATTTTATAATATAATGCAAGGAAAACCAAGATTCAAAAGACAGCCAAGCATCTTAACGTTATTCCCCCCTTTTCCCCATTCCAACCATGTCTCAATCTTTGTATTCCAGAGCCCT